AAAGAAAAGTTTCTGGTTGTGCAGGCAAAAGTTTAAGAAGAATTAACTCCCATGTGATAATAATCTTTTGATAAGAGAAGAAATTGTGAGTGCAAATCCTGAAAATTCCCATCAGTGTCAAGCTAGTTACTTGAAATTGTCAAACAAGCATCGATGACTCTTGAGAGTGTTTTGGCAAGAAGGAAGGCTAACTCCCCATTTTGCAAGCCCTCGGTGAATAGTAAACAGATATACATGTTTCCCAGTCCTGCTGTATTTTCTGTCTAAAGAGTGATAAGTTTTTACCTAAAGGGTGGGATTGTTATCATTTTTTATCATGTGAAGCGTGAATGTGGGATGCTGCACTATTTTTTTTATCTTAGTCTCAAAATCTATTCTCATTCCTTTGGTTTATATGATCTTTGTGATGGAAATGCTTTTAACCATCTCTAACATAATTTATCTGCCCTCTGCAGTTTTTACTGCCCTACCTTATAGGTTGGCATGCCTTCGCAAATTCCATAAAACCGGATGAGACCAGTGGTGTGAATTTTGCCAATGCCAGATATGGTGGAGACTATGAGTGGAGCAGGTAATGAGGTGCTGGGCTTATAAACAAACTTTTGCTTGTAGGATGATCTTTTTGAGTTACTTCCTTTTCTGTTGTACTTGGTTTACAATAGTCTCTTGTAGGAATTAAATGCTAGAGGTTAATGTGCACATACGTGAAATGATCTCTCTCTCTTGAGGAAATACATGAATTCTCTCAAGTTTGGGGAGGTATAGCCTTTTTTTACTATTATTATTGTAATTGTGAGGCATAGCTTTCTTTCTTTACTGTATTCTCTTAAGTTTACATTTCTGCTTACAGTCTGCTGGCACTTCCCTGATGAATCAATGAAATCCTCCAAATCTTTTGATCACCAAATAGTGGAATTTTTTTTCCTCCCCTCCCCTCCCCTCCCCTCTATTTGCCTCAACTAAAACATACTGTAAGTGTACAAAAAATCAAGCTTGCTAATATTTTGTAATGAATTGCATTTAATGGAAACTAGTTTATTAACATTTGAATTAAAGCAAGGCATACATGTAGTTACCTCTGGGAGGACATTTTCTATGATTAAACCAACCTGAAAAGGTTTCTAATTCCAATTCTCCAGTATAAAAGTCTTTAGAAAACAACAAACATGCTCTGAACACGATAGAAAAGATATTTCCATTACAAGAAACATTGTTCGCCTATCTTGTCTTTAATTAAGGCCTTCAAGTTGGTTGAATTGATGTTGCAATTTCTTGGGCTTTTGAATTTTTCTTTGCTTTTTCGCTCACCCTACCAGTGAGATATATGCAGTGGCATGTGCGGTTGGATGGTTTAAAAGTGTTGATTTGAAAGTTTGTAGCAAGTTCTGAATTTATGAACTTAAGAGCAAAGAAATTTAGTCCTTAAAATATTAAATATGAACAGGTCAATATGATTAATTTGGATAGGGTATAAGATTAAGTCATCAAAAGCACGATTAGAAACATGGAAAACCACGTCCGTCCGATTAAGATCAAAAGCGTATGCTAGGAGATGAATACCATGTCCGTAAGATTAATTATTCAAGGTCAAACCGTTATTTGCATAGTCAACAAGGCTTTGTTATATTCCATAAGCATTTTTTATCAACTCTTTGCATATCAAAATGGTAAGGACGAAAATAATTTAAAGAAAAGGAGCATTTGTAGCATGCCTTAAAGCCAATAAATTATTTTCAACCCCAAGTTCTAATAGAAAGACTGATATTTCCAATAAAATTAGAAACCATAAAGTAATATAAGAAACTAAGACCCCAAAATAGAAAGTCTCTTCTATTGATAGATTTAAAAGCAAAATTTTACAATTTCTTCATCCATAAAGGAGCCAAAGCCCTTGAGCTCATTTAAGGGAGGATTAATTTCAAAGTGTGTAAAAACTGATATAAAGATACTTCAACCATAAGTATATATATAAGTAGCGAGACACATAAAAAGTTACATATTTATAGCTTTCTAAACCAAGCATAATAAATTGTAGGATACTGATTGATACATATTTCGGTTTAATTTATTGCACAACATATTTATTAAAAAATCACCATGTTTCCTCAAAAAAATCCTTAACTAGCCCCATCCACGAGTTTGGGAATAAGATGTGCCACTTGCTTTGTCTAAAAACAAGAAAACAGGACCCTTCTCCTTTCCAATGGTCATCCTCCAAAAAGATGACTAAAAAGAATGTCTGTGAACTAAACTGCACCATAGATAATGTTGCAAAATAGAGAGTGGAATTCTACAAAACGGGTTACTAATTGCTTTGGATACCTCCACTTCCAAGGACTTCAAAACCACTAAAGTGTAGCAAAAGCTACAAATCCTAAGTTAAACATAATATCCTAAGGCAAATTATCGTAACATGAAATCAATAAAAAAAAAACAACATGCCACATAAATGAATTCGTAGATGACAGACTATATAAAATTGCAAACAATGATTTTAACTATGCAATCCATAACAATTAAATTAATCACTTGTAGATTTAAAATAAAGATAATTGAACTACTTGATTGTTAACACTAAAAGGGAATCTACAAATTGACTAAAGTCTGAACACTTATAAAATTAAATCCTAATCTAGAGATTAAAATTAAACAAACTATAAGTTTGACAACTATGCATAAACAAAGAAGAGAAGGTAGAAAGCATTTAACCTGTTTACATCAACAAATAATAAAGATGAATCCATAGAAGATAGGAAAACTAACCAAATCAATGGGGCTGACTACTTACAAGGCTGAATTGCTTCCAAGGGCTTTAAAAATTAACAAAAGTTACAATCTCTAAAGGTAAATATAAACAAGGACAGAAAACCTAAACTAGATCTAAGAATAAGAGCAAATCTTGCATTCTAATATGGAAATCATGCTGAAATTTGGAAGAGAAAATCTAAAAATTCAAGATGCATACTGGACAGTTTTTTTGTAGGGCAGGCAGTGTGTCTCTTCTTTTTTTTTTTTCCTTTTCTTCGATGTTGGGATCCTTCCTCCATGATTTTCGCTCCCACCATAAACGAATAGTAGGTACTCCACGTTTGAGGCAATTTTCTTTTATTTGGCAGCTGACAATTTTAATTCAATTTTAATTCTAATAAAACCCTAATAGTAACCTTCTCATAAAAACCCTCAACTTCTTAATTTAAATCAGACTCAATTACTAAGTAAATCACCTTATCACCTGTCATGTAAGTTCAGTCCACCATAAATTTCATCTAGCCTATAAATTTTCAAACTGGCGCAAACCAACATATCCTACTGACTTTCCTTACATGGATCTAATAGCGAGACTCCAACTTAACACGTGGCTTCATCTCATTGATTTTACTTTAGGTGTAAACACACTATTTTCTATTATGAAATTAAAAGGCAAACAAACTTACAAATGTAACCGTACTTATAAGATGTAAGAATCGATTGAATCAGTTATATTTATATTTTAATAATTAAACCAAAATAATTATCAAAAAAAAAATCTTGAATCGAGTATGTACTAATCAATTTCCTAAATTATAACCAAAAAAAAAAAACTACAACCTTTCACGCCCTTACCCACCAACTAAGTATTAATTTACATATATAATAACTCAGATTATTAGACGCGTTACCTTGTTCAAATTGTAATTATGTTGCAGGGAGAATTGCTAACTTGAAGTATCAATTGCTATGTATTCCCTCTTACAAGAATCTTGAGTTGCAATTCATTTGAAAGAAACCCGGTTTCCACTAGATGCTTTACCCGAGGGCTGAGGGAGACAGTTCAGGCCAGGCCAGGCCAGACCAGTAATGGAACGCTTTTCGAAAGCAGGTCTTGCTTCTTAGCTTAGAAGGGTTTTTTTAAGCCTATTTTCGTATTTGTCTGGTAAATTCGTTCTTTCGTATCGAGTATATATTTGTTATTTTCTATCAGAAAAATCTTACTCTATATTTTTTATGGAAAATGCTGGGCAGATCGACCCTAGCAAGCTAAGCAAAGGCCGATGTTGACAATGACATGACATGGCATACCCAACAGAATTCCTTTTCTTTAATGGGGTGCTTGGTTGGACGAAAATTTTTCTCTAAATTTTATTAAATTTATTTATTTTAAGGATATTTATATATTTTTATATATTAATATTACAATGAAAAGAAGATAAAATTTAATATTTTTAATTTTTAATTTTTTGATAAATTTTTAATTTATAAATTTTTTTTTCATATTTTCTGATAAAAAAAAAACTTAACTTTT